GTGCTCTTGCCAGTTTTGTACACAATAAACTTGCATTAAAAATACTTTACCTGGTTAATAGTACCTATTCATTAATAGAAATTTTTTACTTTTTAACTTTTGCATTGAGTTGGAATGTAGGTATAGAACCTTTTTATTCTGTCTGGTTACTGCTTTAATTGTAACATGCTGTTTGACAAAATGAGTTGAAATTTTAAGACCAACTCTAGGCACAAATAATGATAGAAACAAAATATGGCTTAAACATAAAAGCATTTTATGATCAGTCACATTGCTTTATAGGTAAAACTCATTTTATTAGAGTTGAAGTACAAGATTTAGTTCTCCCAAAGCACTGAGATTTTGACATTCATCTTTGTCAGAGAGTTGACTTCAGTAAATTAACAAGAGACATAGCTCCAAATAACATGAGACTAGTAGACATGTTTAAAACTCGGACGTATTTACAAACATAGCATACTTACAGTGTATCCACAAACTAAATCATACTGTTTATATGTTTATTTTTTATGACATATTTATACATACTCTCAGTTTTTGCTAAGAACAATTGTGTTGTTAAGAAAGGGTGAGTTTTGTTATTTTACAGACCAAGAAGCATTGAGAATAAGAGAGATATTCACATAGACACAACACATGTTAGATGACTTTTATATCATATCATTTAAAGTATCTTACAAACTAAAAGGAAAATGTCCTACATACAAAGGACTTTTAAAATATGTGTCTTTAAGAAAGGAAATTGTTTTAGGACAGTCTCATCTAATAGAAAATGATACTTGTATAGTAGAAAAGCTTAACTCTGATTATGGTTTTTATTATTGAACTGTATAGAAATTACTATTCTGTAAAGCACTGTGTTTTATGGCAGCCAGTCCAATTGTACAGTTTTCTTGCAGTAGTCAAAGATTTTCATCTTTTCAAGATAGCTTGCATAAAAAGGATTGAATAATGAGTTACATGAAGTATTACAAATCAAATTATATTATAAAAATATTTTAATAAACTGACTTTCTTCTTCCAGAATGGTGGTACTGATTACTAGTAGAACATCACCCGGGGCATGTAAATATTTTAGTTGTTTGATCTTTTTTCCAAATATGTCTTGAAATTTATACCAAAAATTATAATGAAATTTTTAATATTTTAACTTCATCTTATGCTATTTCAAGAATTTATTCCTCATGTAGTGGTATTTTCAAAATGAGGGAGGAAAGCCTGACATCACCTTAGTTTTTAAATAAATAATTATGTGTTAGTATGTATGTATGTATGTGTGTGTATATTTATTTATTTATTTATTTATTTATTTATTTATACTGACTATTGAATTTCCATATTTATGTGTGTTTTTGCAAATTGTTAGATAATTGTAGCTTGAGAGTTTCTTAAAACATTAAATTCCAGAAATAAGAGGCTTGTTTTGGCCCATTTAGGACTAAATAGCTAAAACGTAGATACTAGTTATGGTATCTTCATAGGTAATTTGTATAATTACTTCTCATTAAAATTATTTTTGGCTGGGGTTGTGGCTCCATGGTAGAGCACTCGCCTAGCACACGTGAGGCACTGGGTTCAATACTTAGCACCACATAAAAATAAAATACAGTATTGTGTCCACCTACAACTAAAAAATAAAAAATAATTTGTGTTTCTTAAATAGTGTGTTAACAGTGAATCATAATCAGTTTCAAACTAACATGTGTCACTGTGAAAATAAATGCTAGTCTAAAAAGTCCAAATACAGAAGTTCATTGCAAAACAGATCATAGATTAACTAAAGATCAAATAAAGAGTGGACGTTTTTAACATGCATTGCCCTTCTTTTGGTTTCATATTCAAGTACTTGGAGATTCTTTTTGAGATTACTCATTACAAGTAAATATATTTTTGCTGCATCTAGTAATATTTTATTTGAAAATAAATTATTGAGCAACTGAACCTAACATTGAAAGAAAAGAGTAAATCTGAGAAAATAAATGCATTAGTAAAAATAGGCCAAAACATTTTTATTAAGCACATATTTACTATACACATTCTAAGGGCCAAATGAAGTAGTGCTCAGTGCTAGAGGTGTAAATATAAAAGTTATTTTGGTACCTGCTTTCCTGGAGGCAGACCATTTGTCAGACCATTTTGTTTGTCTTTCCTTGTCAGACCATTTGACAAGACAGACAAACTAAAAATTAAAGCTATAGTTTATTATAAAATCAGTGCGGAAACATACAGGAAGAAACAAGTATTACGAAGGCTTCCCAGACACAATATCAGAATCTTCATGGATTGGTAAACATTAAGTAAGGCAAAAAAAGGTACATTTTCAGATAGCTAAAGTTGCAAACTTAGGATGCTTAGAGGTCAAGGAACCACAGGTAAACTAAAATAAGGCTCAATAAAGTGGAACAGAAAAGATATTGGCAAAAGATTGAGGGTACATAGGTGGGCAACAGACCCATTTAAGGATTTGGTATTCTAATCTGAAAGCAAGGAAAGCCATTAAACAATTTGTAGCAAGGAAGTAACTTGGTAAAAGATCATCCTTGGGCTGAGGTTGTAGCTCAGTGGTAGAGCACTTGCCTTGCACACGTGAGGTGCTGGGTTCGATCCTCAGCACCACATAAAAAAATGAACAAAATTATTAAAACAAATCACCCTTGATGATATATGAAAGCTAAAATAACTTTTTATCTTTGCAAGATAAGGATATATGTGAATAATTAAGTAAAAATAACTCAGGAATTATTTATATTTACACAACTTGGTTCTTTGAGATTTGGTAAAACGTAAATTATGTTGTTATGATTGCATTAATAGATGGTAGTGGAATATGTTATATTCTTATCATAACTCTGAGCTGATCAAATATAAAGACTTGAAAACTAATTGATAATTGTTGGAAATTGCTATTCAATCTCCCTTCACTTAATTGTCTTTTAACATTGATCCTATCTGTGCTAATTCGGTGATATAAGATGGCATTTATGCTCTTTATAGCTGTATTCTAGATTGCCTGGACCTCCCTCTCCCAAAATGTTTTACACTAAAAGTTTTATACTGAATTTGGGTTTATAATTAAAAGAGGATGTATATAATAAAAAAGAAGAGAAAATTAAACTCCAGAGGAGTATGAGATAAGGAGAGGTGTTGAGATAAAAAAGAAATTAGAAAGGATAATATCCTTTCCCTTAGTTGCCTCCTACACTGTAGCCTACTTCTGTCTTCCTCTTGCTAATATAAATAAAAATTTTTACGCTGAAAGTGATATGTAAATGATCTTAAACTGTATAGCCCATCCTAGATATTTTTAACTGTATAAAAATCTGATAATACAAATTTCATGGCACTATAAGTAGTTCTCCTTTTTGCCTTGAGATTAGGGGCTAGACTACTAATTTAGACAATATTATTCTTATAATATAGAAAATTCCTAAATAGATACTGTGATTACTTGAGTAAACATAAATTGATTTATAATTGAAACCACAAAATTAAGCTCCATAATTTACTTGAAAGACCTGAGTATAAGTTGAATAAGTTTATTTTACAGTTTTAGCTCAAAAAGATAGTTTATAATTCACAACATCTGAGTTATCAAAAAACCCCGCAGACTGAATCTTTCACCCTGAGTATATTTAATTTAATAGCAAGCACTCTTTGAAAAACTTTGAAAGTAAAATGTTTTACACTAAATGTTTTACACTGAATTTCCATTAATGTAAATCCAGGTTCTCATCAAACTGGGTCTTTACTATTTTACATGCAAGCAACTAGCTCCTTATGTAGCAATTTGTCATTTGACTCCAAGACAAATATTTTCCCTGCAGCAGGGGAAAAAGGAAAAAAACTAATTACCTATATGGCTATATGTCTATAGCAGACACTGCATTTTTTAGGCATCTCATTAATTAAGTAGTAATATTTGTATTAAAATCAAATTATATGGTATCGTCAGCTTAAAGTTATTCTATCTTGAAATAAAATATTGTGGAAACTGAATTTTCATCTATTTTTAAAGAATATATTGTTTTATTTAGAATGGGAGAGAGTTGAAGAATTAAATTACTCATAGTTTTTATTTTGCCATAGAAGAAAACTGGATTGTATTAAAACAAGAACTGAAAAAAGTGAGAATACACTTACCCAGAGTCTACATAACTGAAATTTATTTTCTCAGTTTCAGCTAGTTTATACTATTCCTTATAAAGGTAGTTGGCCAGACGGAAGGCTTAAAGGCTGCTCTTTAATGATAAGTAACTAATAGTGGAAGCAGTAAATTTAGTCATCCCTCAGTATCAATGGTAATTGGTACCAAAATCCATGAATGCTCAAGTCCTTGATATAAAATGATGTATTATTTGCGTATAACCCATGCACATCCTTTCATATGTCTTAAATTATCTCTAGATTACATAAATTCCTGATATATATGCTGTGTAAATTTCTGCTATATTGTAATGTTTAGGGAATACTGAAAAGAAAATAGTCTCTATATTCATTGTAGACACAATTTTTTTCCCCAAGTATTTTTCTATCTATGTTGGTTGAATCTACAGATACAGAGAGCCAGCTAAACCTCTTTTTTTAAGTTAATTTCTTGCTTGCACTCTATCTTAGTTTTTACCTACTCAGGCTAATTTATAGGTTCCTGGGATGAGTAGACAATCCATAATTTCTACCAATCAAGTAAAAGAAGGAAAGAAAACTCTGAGCTTCTCTCCCAGTTAACAGGTAGTTTGCTGTGTTTAAAATTAATGCAGATTTCACAGCAACAAATATTAACATTTCATTTATTATAAATAATTTATTTGAAATTTGGGAAATGAATAGTTGAGTGCATCATTTCAGTGTTTATTTGAACAGTAACTTCTTAGTGCTAGAGACCATCTTATTTTTTTCTGATTGCTGTGGCAAACAATTTGTTTCCCTTTAATTTTAGCATGTTTTAAAAAAAAGTGTGTGTATGGTTACTTTTACTTGAAAATATATTTTATTCTTTGCAGTGTTTGAGCAACACACCTCCACTTACTGAGTATTTCCTCAATGATAAGTATCAAGAAGAACTGAATTTTGACAATCCCTTAGGAATGAGAGGCGAAATAGCTAAATCATATGCTGAACTGATCAAGCAAATGTGGTCTGGAAAGTTTAGCTACGTCACCCCAAGAGCATTTAAGGTTAGTATGATAAATACATTCTCAACAAGAGTGATATCATCCCCAAGAGGGCAAAAACTAGTTCCTAGAAGAGAAGGATGAAAAATAGTAGCTATCACAATGACTTATAAGCCCTTCAAAGGAGTACAGTATGGATGGATGGATGGATGGATGGATGGATGGATGGATGGATGGATGGATAGATCATCTGTGGTATAAAATTTCAGATGACAGAGTGGGTGATTAGTTTTCAGAAAGTCTAAAAAGGATTTAGGAGGGGGGAATAATTTAAAAAGACTGAGAAAAACACTGGTATGATAGAATTACTACAGAGAAATAGCAGTGAGCATTTATTTGCATAGTTATTTTAGAATACATCTCTGAAAAATCTACATGACTATTTCATATTATACAACCTTAAAAAAATAAATTTGAACATTTCATTAAAGTCTAAGAACTCGAGTATTTCAATAGTCATTGCGAGTTTGAAAAATTAAAACTAGTCTGCAAAACAGTCACTAAATATGAATGTGCTTCCAATGTAATTCTTAAAGTCAAAGTTTATTCAAATTTGTGAATAGATTGCTTTTTAGAATCAGTAAAATTACAAATGATTTTTCATTCAAACAAGAATTAAATTAAAATTTGGCTTTATGTGTTAAAAAGTTTTCCTAATTAATTGTAATAGGAGTAGGATGAGAAAGTATGTATTTTTGAAGAATAAGCAATTATAATAAGCCATAATTTTTACAATCAACTTAAATGGTATTCATGTAGGACATGTACTAAGTAACCGTATACTACTTCCTAAAAAGTAAGAAGCGACTAACAAATCATGTACCCCTACATTTGGACAGACTAGTCTAGACAAACCATCTCAACACAACCCTCATTCCAATTAGTTTTGTTAGATTTTTTTTCCTCTTTAAATTTTATGTAAAAATGCAGGCTCTTGATATTTGACTTCTTTCATATTATGATTTATTTTTTTTATTTATTTTTAGTTTTAGGTGGACACAGTATCTTTATTTTATTTTTATGTGGTGCTGAGGATCAAACTCAGTGCCTTGTGCATGCTAGGCGAGGGCTTTACCACTGAGCCACAACGCCAGCCCCTCATATTATGATTTATATTATTACATTTCTTTGTAGTCCAATCAAAAAATAGTATTACAAAACTAGGAAAATTGAACATAAATATTATTGTTATCTTTGTGAGATTCTTCCTCTTTTTACACACAGAAACTGAAAGATTTGTAGTTTTTTCCCCAGTGGACCCAAAGCAATATGTTACTAAATTTTTTAAGTCTTCAGTGTTTCCCAATTTTTTGTACAATATTTTATTATATGTTCTCCTTGTTCTTTTCTCATGTCAACATTTCTCTATTTTAGAGAGTAGTTATTTTCAAAATTCTTTTAGATGTATGATTATCTGTATGATAATAATAGCCAGAATAAAAACTTGTCTTTTATTGTCTGCCTGACAAACATTTACAGGAAGAGGCAATAGGAAAACCAAGAGCTAAAAATTAAGAGTGCTGAAAACTCCTTTGACAAATAGTGAAATGGCAATTAGTAACAAATAAATATAGGACCCATAATGATCAATATACATTTTGGGGGGTTTTGTTTGTTTTTCATCTATACATTTTTTTAAGGAGTCCATGTTCTGTTCTGTTTTGGCCTAAATAAGCTTCATTGAGGACTGGGATTGTAGCTCAGGAATAGAGTGCTTGCCTAGCATAGGTGAGACTGGGTTCAATCCTCAGCACCACATTTAAAAAAAAAAAAAGTGAATAAAATAAAGGTTAAATTCTAAAAAAAATAAATAAGCAAGCTTCATTGAATGTATACTGGAATGCAGAACAAAATATATGTTCCTATTTTGTATATATACATTTTCATTATTCACAATAGTTATATTCCTTAAATTTATTGCAAACACTGAATAACCATACTAAACTGTTGCTACTAAGGAAAATATAGGTTTTGATTCTATCAAACCTTCTAGTTGTAACATTTTCACATTTTCACCAACCAACCAGTGTGTCATTTTGTTTTATGTGTATTTTAGTTTAAAGACCCTTATTTACCATGTGTGATGGTGCATACCTGTAATTCCTATGGCTCATGAGGCTGAGGCAGGAGGATTGTGAATTCAAAGCCAGCCTCAGCAATTTAGGCCCTAAGCAATTCAGCAAGACCCTGTCTCTAAATAAAATATAAGAGGACTAGGGATGTTCACAGTGGTTGAGTGCCACTGGGTTCAATCACTGGTACTAAAAACAAAAAAAGGAAAAAAAAAACTTGTTTAATATGTGTTGTTGATTCATTAGCATTGAATTCATAGCCAACAGCACTGTAACTTATGTCTGAAGGAAGCTTATCTAACTATGTTTTCTCCAAAAGGTACATCACAGCCTCCTTCTAGCCAACACTTCAGCACTATGTATGGGGGGCTCTTTAAACACTGAAATAACCAGAAGACAGCACAGAAGTGTGAAAAAAAAATAGCACTAAATCAACTACAAAAAGACATTTGTTTATATAGTATGAGAGCTAAAACAAAAAGGGGAGAGGATCACTTTGTTTCCCAGCTGAGAATGTGCATGTTAGATGACTCAAATTTTTCACCTCTCTGAGGATATCCATAATGACTGCTAAAGTGTTTTAATTTTATTTGAGGGTTAAAAATAAATTTTAGCAAGTAGGCAACTCATAGATATGGAGTCCATGAATAATAAGAATCAACTGTAGAATTTTAAAGGAATCCTGACTCTGCTGAGTTCATGGTTTTGTTTTTCTCACAGACACAGGTAGGACGTTTTGCACCCCAGTTCTCTGGATATCAACAGCAAGACTGTCAAGAACTATTAGCTTTCCTATTAGATGGACTACATGAAGATTTGAATAGAATTAGGAAAAAACCATATATACAATTGAAAGATGCTGATGGAAGGCCTGATAAAGTAAGTTTCATGATATTATTGTCTGCATTGTTGCAGTTCTATAATACCTCTATAACTTGATCTTATTTTCTTTATAGGTGGTTGCTGAAGAAGCCTGGGAAAACCATTTAAAAAGAAACGATTCTATCATAGTAGATATATTTCATGGCCTTTTCAAATCAACTTTGGTTTGTCCTGAATGTGCTAAGATTTCAGTAACATTTGATCCTTTTTGTTACTTGACACTTCCATTGCCCATGAAAAAAGAACGTACCTTGGAAGTTTATTTAGTTAGAATGGATCCACTTACCAAACCTATGCAGGTAAGTAGTGATTATTTTCTGTACATTTGTTACTTTTTATCAAATATTATAGTGTTGAGTACTATATAAAATTAGTTTTGAAGCTGGGCCTGGTGGTGTGTGCAATTTAGGAAGCTGAGGCAAGAGGATTATAAGTTCAAGGTTAGCCTGGGCAACTTGGAAGACCCTGTCTCAAAATAAAGTTTTGAAAAGGACTGGGGATGTAGCTCAGTGGTAAAGCACTTGACGAACATGTGCAAGGCCCTGGATTTAATCTCTAGTACTATATGTAAATTAAAAATTAGTGTTGAATCCTAAAGCACAGTTTAGTAATAATGTTTGTGTAGTGTAAATGTACTATAAGCTTAACACTTTGGAAATTAGTATAATTTTTAGAATCTTGAAAGGATGAAGGATGTCATGTAAAAAGTATTCTCAAAGACTTTTTCTCATCAAAGAAAACAGACATTGTTTTACAGTGTTGAAGAATATTAGCTTACAAAAATGAGAAATGGAAATTTAGTTAGATTAAAATATTTGATTCAGTAATGTTCTAATCTTTAATACTTTATTTTATCACATATTGTTTATCCTATGCAAAATCACTGGTAGTAGGCATTAATGATCATGTTTGATTGCATAGTGTAGTGTTATAATTGAACTATTTCCTATTTTGTGAATAAAATCCTATATTTTCTCCCTTCTTTATCAGTGCTTTTCTGAGACTTGACCCCTCCCATCGAAAGTATCTCCTTTCTCTTCCTACCTCCCCTAAATTCTGTTAACAGCACTTAGCAAATTTTATTTTGACCTTTATTTGCTCTTGTTTTTCTTCCCTAGACCATAAGTTATTTGAAGATAGGAGACTTACAAATCTTGTTTTCGATGCTTAATTTGTGTATGTTAATGCAACAGTATACAAGCAAGGCATGGTGATACACACCTGTAATTCCAGCAACTCTAGGAGGCTGAGATAGGAGGACTCAAGTTCAAGGCCAGCTTTTTAGCAGTTTAGCAAGGCCCTGAACAACTTAGAAAAAAATTTTAAAGGCTGATAATGTAGCTCAGTGTTAAAGTACCCCTGAGTTCAGTCCTCAGAATCCCTCCCCACCAAAAAAAAGTATTCACAATGCTGTATTAGGCACAAACAGTATAAAGTTTTTGTTCACTAAACAAGGCAGATATGGTCCTACTTCAGAATATTGTTTTCTCTAAATCCTTAGAGTTCCAGCCAGGTAGCTCAACTTTGTTTGGTGCCTAATAGTCACAAAATCTATATGAAAGTTATGCTCTGAACAAAATTATGATTTTACCACTCAGGCAGGAAATTGAGTTTACTCTTAACAAGAAAAGGATATTTACAACATTCTGAAAAATAGTTCTTTCATTCAAGGTAACTGAAGTCTAGTTGTAACAAATAATACAATCCCATATATAAATTTCACCCTTTTTTTTCTGCTTCTTTATGTTTCCTTCATGAACTAATCAAATCTAGTGACTTTATATCAGTATTTTGTTAAGTAGTGCTGAGAACTTACCCTTATCTATAAGCAGGACCAACAAAGTACTGCTTTTACTTTTTACACTTTTTTTTGTGTTCATACTTGATAATAATATATTGTCTTTAGGTACTCTCTTATTCATTTGTTTGTAAATGCAGAATTGTCTACATTATTTTCAGTTCTATCAGTGTTAAACTATACCATTACCTCACTAGCTTGTAACTTTGCAAATACATGCCAATGGAGCAAAAGAATATGAAAAATTAGTAAAAATGTATTACAACAACAACAAAAACGTAGATGTTTTATTTATGTTCAGCACATTTGTTAAAGACAATACTTTTCCAGGCTAATATTATAAAATAATCTGTTATATAGTGACAGGTTACATTAAAGCTACACATTAGCCCTTAAGGTATATGGTGAATGTTCTTCTGTAATTTGGCTTTAAATCATTTTCCAGCATTGTGAATTTCATTGAGTTACTTTTTTACTCACTTGGTGACCAAGAATATTAATTGTGGGAGTTAGGTCCACGATCAACACAGGAATTGGATTTGGGTGTTGTTTATGTTCTTTTTTAGAGGGATGGGGGTGGTATTTTTGTTGTTGTTTTTTGTTGTTGTCATTTTTTTCCTCTTAAACACAGCTTCCATACAAAGCGATATCCTCATTAACACTATGGTTTAATCAGCTGGTAAGGAAGTGAAATTAGCTAACATCCTGTTACTGAAGTTGATTTAGGTTATATTAGTAATCATATTGAGGATGTATTATATGTTGCTCTCATACTCTAAGGGGTTGGAAATATGAAAGTGTTTCTAATCCTACTTCTTAAGAAGTTTGTCATAGAGTGTGAGAAGTAGTATGACAGTACCACAGGAGCTCACGGAAAGAATAATCTGCACAAACTGATATACGTGTGATGAATCATGAAGAATGATTAGATTTTAAGTAGGTAGCAGCTGGAAATGAAGATATTATAGGCCAAGAAATTGGCATGTACAAGGCCTGAAGACAAAAGAAGTCATGGCCCTACTTTTAAAATTTATAAGTAGCTAAAAATATGGTAAGCAGGAACTTTACCAATGAGTATCACAAAGATGTTTGATACCATGATAGGAAATTTGGACTTCTTCCTAAAGCTAGGAAAGCTTTTAAAGGTTATTAAAAAACCTTTAAAAGCATAGAGATTATATGGCTATATTTGTGTTTGAGAAATAAGAATCTGGCTAGCACATAGATTAGATAGGAAAGACTTAGATCAGAACTATGAAGACCACAGATAAGAGGCTTTTGCAGTGTTCAGTTGACAAGGGCTTGAAGTTGTGTCAGTATGTCAGTTTGATTGTAAAACTAGTTTGAATGTAGGAAGTGAAAATGTGTAGATGTATTCAAAGATGATTTCACGTTTCCTGGACTAGAGAATTGAGAGCTTAATGGTGCTCTTTGTTTTAATGGGATGTATAAGAAGAATAAGTCTAAGAAGAAACCTTTTTAGTATTAAACATAATAACATAACCTATTAGTGTTGGATACATTGACTTCAAGATGCAGAAGGAATATTTAGATGGTGGTAATCTGATAGGCATTAAATTTATGTATTCACACTGGAGGAGAAAGACTGTGATTAAGATTTAAATTGAGTAGTGAGCTCTTTGAGAATGGTAGTCGGTGGTTTAAAAGGATGAGATCACTTAAGACTAGAGTGACTCTGATTTATCATCTAAACTAGAACTCTCCTGAAAATAAAAAGGGCCTTTGTTAATAATTATACTAGGATAAGAGTCTAATCCAGGACTGGCCAAAGCAAATGGAGATATATTGTCATTAGTCTAAAAAGTGTATATAGAATCAAGGAGAGGTCGAAGAACAAAATTTTAAAGAACAATATGGAGGGGCTGGACTGTAGCTTAGTGGCAGAACGCTTGCCTAGCATGCATGAGGCACTGGGTTCAGTTCTCAGCACCATATAAAAATAAAGGCATTCTGTCTATCTACAACTACAAAAAAATTTTAATTAAAAAAAAGAATATGGAAGAGCTTCTAAGACAATATTATCACAGCAATAGAAAAGAATTAAGAAGTAGTGTTACATAAGGAAAGAAACATTTTTAAAGATTGGCGTGGTCAGCAGTCATTCTACATAGAGATCAATAAAATAGAGTCTGATAAAGAGTGAGTTGTGTAGTAGTTTTGGTAATGTTGGCAATAGGTTAAATAAAGGGGTGAAGACAAAAGCCAGAAAATGGGTTGAGAAGTGAATGGGAGATAAGGAAGTTATAATAGTCAGTGTAGAATATTGTTAATAAAGTCATTTATAAAGCATGGGAAATAAGGGAAAGCAATGAAGGACTATTTTTATTTTTGTTTTGTTTTTTGAGATGTTTATTGTATTCCAGTGCTTATGCAAAAAAGTCAAGATAATAGGAAAGTCTAGTTGCTAGATTTAGGTCTTAGCAGAGGATAGAATTCAGAGCATATAAACTAGGGTTCTCCCTTAATGGGAAGAAAAACACTTAACTTGTATTGCAAGAGACAGGAAAGGAAAAAAAAAAAAAAACAACCTATATGTCCTCAGGTAATTTTTTAAGGGAACTAGAAGTTACAGATTTTTACCACTTGGCAGCTTCATTTTCTTAGTAAAATAGATGTTCTTCTGAAGGGAGATACAGTGAAATAGGAGGCCTAAGTAATGGTGAATATTTTAAATAGTAATTGAAATGAGAAAAACAGCAAATAAGATTCAGAGAATTGTTTCTGGGCAGTGTTAAGGATCAGTTGAGACTGTGGATTTGAAGTTCACTGGCATCTGAAGTTGGGGAGTTTTCTGCAGCTTATCTGAACTGCTTTGAGAAAGTTCAGCAAGAGTGGAACTGAGTAATAGAGGTTAAAGGTTTTATAATGGAATGATTGAATTGATGAAGAATATGGAGTCGGGATGGAAGTGCATGAAGACAGTAGGGAGAAAATCTGAGTGTCATAAGGACTAGAAATCTCTATAAAAGATAAGAATAGGTAAGAATATGTTTCCAGGTGAAGCAGGTAGTGGTAGTTAGTGTAAGGTATCAGAAGCAAAGCAGATTCACGTGGCGACAAGGTCCAGGAAGTTGACTATACTTGAATGCAAGGATAGATCTTTGAATTGAGAAACTGAGGAAAAATAAGGGGTGGGATGAATCATCTATATGGACATTATCTCCTAGGGTAATGGCAAGATTGGAGGTAGACATTATAAGCCAAATGCTGAATACCAAATGAATGTAAGAAAACAATCATGAGGTCAGTCTCATCTACTCAGTGTTTTTTTTCCCAGTATAATAAGTTCATTACAATTTTTTGTTTTTGTTTTTTAGTACAAAGTGGTTGTCCCCAAAATTGGAAATATACTAGATCTTTGCACAGCATTGTCTACTTTGTCAGGAGTACCGGCAGATAAGGTAAGATGTTTCTGGGATTGAAGAATTTAAATTGGTGTTTAGTTTCTCGGTGTTAAAAAACCAGCTTAATAGAAATTTATTTCCTTTTAGATGATAGTTACTGATATATACAATCATAGATTTCACAGAATATTCCCTATGGATGAAAACCTTAGTAGTATTATGGAACGGGATGATATTTATGTGTAAGTATGAAATTTATTGTGCAGAGTATTACTTGAAAATAATCAAAAAAAATAACAAGATTTTGAGAGTTTATGGTCCATTGTGTTCTTATAGGTTTGAAATTAACATCAATAGGACAGAAGATACAGAACATGTGATTATTCCTGTTTGCCTAAGAGAAAAATTCAGACACTCAAGTTATACCCACCATACTGGTTCTTCACTTTTTGGTCAACCTTTTCTTATGGCTGTCCCACGAAACAATACTGAAGATAAACTCTATAATCTTCTCCTTTTGAGAATGTGGTAAGTGCCAGACAATTCTACTTCAATAAAATAAGCATGGGAATGAAATACAGGTAAAAAAGTAAACATGCAAGGAACTACCAGAATGTAATTGAACATTATCTCAACTTTGTTTAGACAGGTAGCAATTTAAAAATCAGGTTATAGTCATCTACTTTCATGATCATGAAAAAATGCATTACTGAGGTTATTTTAAACCCAGTATTATCAATAACTGTGATACATGTGTACACTCTGGAATCATAACAAATGGCAAAGTCTCATATCTTTATGCATACTACTAGCTCAAGAACTCGTACTAATTGTCTTAAAAGAGTAAATATTCACAATGTATAGTCCATTTTTTGCCTTCCTAAAAATCTTGATTTGAATTATATAAGGTAATCATAAACACCATTTGATCCTTTTTAATTTTTTTATAGTTGACATGTTCAGTATTATTTCTTGTATACCTAATTATTGTAGTTTCATGACTCATACATAAAGATCACATTATCCTCATTTTGATCACTAGTGCCACAAAAAATATTATTAAAAATGTTCACATTATATAAAAGCAAGCTTTCTTAGCAATAACATATATATCATTTAAATGGGAATCTTATAATACTTTAAAGTTGAGAAATTATTTGCCACAAACTTTAATGTATAAAAGACAGATATAACACTCTAGAAGTAAGAAAATATTCTTTTTATAAAGACAAATAAAACACAATTAATTCTACTTATGGAATTGTAAGCTTTGAGTTTTAATTTATTTTTAAATCTACCAAATAACCACTGTTATTGCATTGAAAAGCTCCATTTTATTGGTAGAGTGGAAAATAGTTTTTAGATCTCTGTAGAATTGAACTTGTTTGATTTCTGATTTTATTAAGCCGATATGTCAAAATATCTACTGAAACTGAAGAAACTGAAGGATCCCTGCATTGCTGTAAAGACCAAAATATTAATGGGAATGGCCCAAATGGCATACATGAAGAAGGTTCACCAAGTAAGACTTTCCTGTTAAATTATTAAAATGTTTCACTTGGATTATTGCCTCAGAGAAAAAGTTTAAAAAATGGATATTAAGGAACTAAAAACAAACCATCTGTAAATCTAGGTAAAATAATTATTTCAGAAATGTTAACACTGGATTTATTTAAAGATCTCTAATATCTAAAACTAGGTGAAATGGAAACAGATGAACCAGATGATGAATCCAGCCAGGATCAAGAACTTCCCTCAGAGAATGAAAATAGTCAGTCAGAAGATTCAGTTGGAGGAGATAATGATTCTGAAAATGGATTATGTACTGAGGAAACTTGCAAAGGTCAACTCACGGGACACAAAAAACGATTGTTTACATTCCAGTTCAACAACTTAGGCAATACCGATATCAACTACATCAAAGACGATACAAGGCATATAAGATTTGATGATAGGCAGCTTAGGCTAGATGGTAAGTATTTTTTGTGAAAAATGACTTGAGCATCAAATTTCAGTAAGTGGGGTTTTTAAAATATAAAAACCATGAAATTCAGCCCAACCATGAAAAATACCATTTATCTATTTTAAAATGTTAAATAAAAGGCCTTAATATCCAGGTACGCTAAAACATGCAAGTGTTTACTAAAGCAGGGTTTAACTTCATGCTTCAGCTTTGTATCTTTTTGTCTTTTGATCTCACATTGTTAAAGGCTTGGAAACAGTTATTTGTCCTAATCATCTGTGCAAGTAGAAAAAATTGCTCCTTGTTTATTTTTATATATACCGTAATGTTAAAATATACAAATTTTAGTTGTAAAACACATTGAATTTTAAAGAAAAAAAATGTTTTTCACCTTAGAAAGATCTTTTCTTGCTTTGGATTGGGATCCTGAATTGAAAAAAAGATATTTTGATGAAAATGCTGCCGAGGTAAGTTATCACTCAAACACTGCTTCTTTACCTTTTCTTGGCTTACTTTATTCTAATTGCTAGAGTTAATCACACTCTTTTGTACACTTTCTGCTTCCTTGAAATTAGTTTATATTTTGCCATTAAAAATTTGGTCACAAACTTTTTTTCAACTAGAGGGGTTTTGAACATGCTTTTTGTTGACATGTTTTAATTATAGAAGGTCATTTAGGAGTTATTAAAAAGTATGATAAAAATCTCAGCTGAAATAAGTTTTATGATTCTCTTGAAAATTTAGGAGTTTTCATTATTATTCATAGTAAGATGGTATCACTAAAATGAGTTTTGTTTCATTTGTTCTCTTAACTCAAGAAATACTTCTCTTTAGGATTTTGAAAAACATGAAAGCGTGGAATATAAACCTCCTAAAAAACCCTTTGTGAAATTAAAAGACTGTATTGAACTTTTCACAACAAAAGAAAAGCTAGGTGCTGAAGATCCCTGGTAAGAGACAAAGTTAAATAATTGTTTCTAATTATTTTCTTTAAGGCTTTATTCTGAAGTATGTGGTACATCAAGTTGAAAAAATGATTACTAAATATTCTTATTGCTATAAATTTCTGTAATGTAATAGTCTATTAAAAGGAATGGGAATATCTCCAAAAGTATTATCCCATCATTAGCTTTAATCTCATTACTATATTTTCCCTAATAGTCATTTTACTATTTATAATTACCTTTTTCCTAAGAAGTTTCAGCTGTGTTGGAAAAAGCTTTTTAGGGAAATTATTTTGTGATATCATTCCATTAAAGTCCAAAGTTTTGAGATTTTTCTGATATCTATGTCTCAACACACATTTGTAATATTATGTTACATGGTTCATATCTTTTTTAGCATACTGAAATGTAAGTAACCTAGCCCTCATCATTTATTTGAATATTTATTTGCGTATTAGTTTATAATGGTTAGACTTATTTAAAAAATGTATTGAAAATAAAGAGGAGTTGCTGTTAGACTGGTATATATTACTCCTAAAATAATTGCTCACAAAAATATAGGGTTCCCCCCCCCCCACCCTTGGGTTTTGGCTTGTTATTTTTGTTAATGGAGCTAGCCATTTATACCTCTGTCAAACTTTTAAATATTTCTTTTTGGTTTTAGGTATTGTCCAAATTGTAAAGAACATCAGCAAGCCACAAAGAAATTGGATTTATGGTCCCTTCCTCCAGTACTTGTGGTACATCTCAAGCGATTTTCATACAGTCGTTACATGAGAGATAAATTGGATACTTTAGTTGATTTTCCTATCAAGTAAGTTAAATTGTACTTAATAAACATTGAGCATTCTAACTTTTTTCAAACTTATTTTGATGCTTTTTGTCATTGTATCTTAGTAAAAGATTTGAATTTATTTTTGAGTAGATATAACCATTTTAAGGGTTGATATTTCACGATTTTTATTCCTAGAGATTTTTCCAAAAACAAAAGTGAATATTTTCTTTTTAAATAAATATAACTCACTATGTCTTGCATTACCTTATGTGTTCATTGACCCCATTTATAATTATAAGATTTTTTATGGACTTAGCAATTTTGTTTTTCCTAGGATTCATTTTATCATTATTCATCAATTATTCCTAAATTTTTTAAATGACTAAAATATTATAAAAATAGAAAAATGGAATTGCTTAGAATGTTGATTTAATAATGAAATAAATTATCCCTATATGCATTTATCCTTCAGTTTTTCTTGTTGCATAGTATGACATCATACTTGTAAAAAGGTATAACAAAGTCTGGAAACCATCTTCATAGTCTCTTTTTGTTTGTTTGTTTGTTTTTTAGCTTTTACTAAACACAGTTAAGAATTCAGGACAAAAAAGGGAACATTGTATTCTCATTCACTTCTCATTCACTTAGTCATGCAGCAGGAAGGACTTCATCACACAATATTTTGTAATAAAGAGCTTGGCATTATCCTGTATTGCAAAAAAGAACATGTGACAGTATTCTTTCATATTTTATGATATTTGTGCACCAAAACTTACTTGAATCAGTTAGTAAGTGGACAAATGCTGAAGGCAGGTGTGTATACAAAAGGGACTGGAAAGGATATAGGTGATTTTAAAAAACTGAAAATATTAATTATTCATTCCATTTATTGAGCAGGAAGAAAAAGGTTATTTATCAAAATTGTGAGCCATTAAAATTTTCAAGAATATAGCATTTTGACAATGTAAATGCAAGAAAACTAGATTCTAATATAGGTATATTTGGAAGTTAGAATTATTGCTTTTGCAGGGCGGGGGTGCTGGGGTTAGAACCCAGGGTCTTACACATGCTAGGGGAGTGCTCTACCAACTGAGCTACACTCCCAGTAGAGTTGTTGCTTTTTAATGATGTGAGGATAAGAACAACAACCAGAAATGATGCAAATGTAAGAACAACAATAATAAACTATAAGATGGTGTGTTCCAAGTTCATGCATATATGATTATGAACAGTCAATTGCATTCAAAGAGTGCTGCCCATTTCTGGTCTATAGGTTATCAAAATCAGGAAAATGTGGAATAAAAATGGTCTTCAATTGACTTGATTGATAGATACTGGGAATTGAACTTAGGTGAGCTACATCCTCAGTCCTTGTTATTTTTTATTTTGAGTCAGAATCTCACTCAGTTGCTGAGGCAGACCTCAAATTTGCAATCCCGCCTCAGCATCTGAGTAGCTGGGATTACAGACATTCTTGATGTTCTAGTGTCTAGCTTAATTTTTAAAAACTCATAAGAAAGTTGTTTTTCACTCTCCCTTTATTTTTTGCTGTATAAATCATTCCTAAAAATTATTTTAAAATAAAAAGCTGGACATGGTGGCACATGCCTGTAATCCAAGTGGCTCGGGAGGCTGAGGCAAGAGAATCACGAGTTCAAAGTCAACCTCAGCAATGGTGAGGCACTAGGCAACCCAGTGAGACCCTGTCTCTAAATAAAATACAAAATAGGGCTGGGGATGTGGCTCAGTGGTTGAGTGAGTGTCCCTGATGCTCAATCCCCAGTACCAAAATAAATAAATTAGTTGATTAAATAAAAACAATTCATTGGGTCTAAATGATAATGAGTTACTTGACTCTTGATAATTTCTTTGGTGAAAAATATGGAGAGAGGCAACACTGGCAGAAGGGAATAGAATTCATTGCATTTCAAAGAAAAAAAATGAATTTATTATATTTAGGGAAAACATAACACTAACTTCATTTCTCTTTAAAAAAACAGTGACTTGGATATGTCGGAATTCTTAATTAATCCAAATGCAGGTCCTTGCCGCTATAATTTGATTGCTGTTTCCAACCATTATGGAGGGATGGGAGGTGGACACTGTAAGTTGACAGTTTATATTTTAACATGATGATGATGTTCGAATAACTATTGATTTTTTTTTCCTTAAGGTATTTATTACGTCTGGTAAAATGTCAGATGGGTCTTTCATATAATAGTTATGCAATATTGATTAATGAATGAATCAGCTTTTGAACCCTTTTAAATCTGAAAAGAAAGGATTGAGTTAATCATACTCCTCATTGTCAGTTGAAGGCACTGGAAGAAGTGTTACTGGTCCATTTGGGGTTCCTCTTCTCCATTGTTTTTCCCTTCTCTTTGTAACATGTTTAATGCATGTGCTATAAACCATGCATATTTGCTCACTTTTGTAATTGGTACTGTACTACAGATCTCAGCAGATCTTGCTTGTTTTCTTTATACTTTTGTTATCTATTTTGTCCATTGCTCCTCACTACTCATGGTTTACATTCACCATATGGTGGATATCCAACTTGCCTTTGAGACTGGTAAATATTATTGTTTCTGGTCTGTTACATGAAAATTTCTTTGAACTGTGTACTCAGATGAAACTGCCAGGTTTAAATGAGTATTTAAATACTGCCAGATTTCTTTCCATGTTGAAACTAACAAATCCACCCTCTCCTCCACTTGATAGGTTTTTCTATTGAACGATCTTTGCATTCTTGGGATGATCCTACTTGTCTTTTTGTGGTTTTTGATACACAGTAGAATTTCATTAACTAATTAAGATTGTTAAAATTTCATAAGTTCAGTGGTCTTATAATTTTTTATATTGTTATTTGACTTTGAAATCAAAATTATAGCCGTAAAACAGATAGGATGCCATACTCTTCTTCTGTATCCTTTTCATCTAGGTTTTCCAATATACTTCAGAATGGTTTATAATACTTTTATGCTATGTTTTTGTCCCTTTTTTTCATTCCTTTCTTTTTTTTATCAATTCTTCCAGAAGTTCGCTTTTCATCTTATTAATTTGTTAATTGTACTTATTGTCTCATTTCATTTGTACCTTGATGACAGTTTTCTTCTTGTTACTTTGGTTCAGATTAACAAACTCAAAATACACAATGGCAGAGCTTACTTAAATTTAAGAACAGATATAGAGGCTGGAGATATAACTCAGTTGGTAGAGTGCTTGCCTTGCTTGCACAAGGCCCTGAGTTAAATCCCCAGCATCACAAAAAAGAAAGAACACATATAGGAAAAGAAACAACATAACATGGACAAAAACTGTTTAACAGAGGTCCTAGGTAATTGGCTATCATTTTATGTTGCTATTTTTCTAACTTCTTGGGTTGACCACTTAACTTTTTGCTTTCCATTGTTTTTGAAACTATATTGAAAGCTATAATTAAAACTATAAACTTCCTACTAATATTGCTTTAGGTCTTGGTGATGGATTTTGAAATGTAGCATTTTTATTATCTTTTAATACTGTGACTTTTTAAATTTCCTTTTGATTTTCTGCTAGCCCAGGGTCATTTAATTATTTGCTTAATTTTCAAGTACATGGGGGGTTTTTTGTAACAGTTGGGAGCTTTGTCTATATTAATCTTTAAGAGTTTGAAGCTTTGACAGTAGCCTAATACATGGTTTCTTTAAATTTTCATACATTTGAAAAAAACATGTTACCTATTGAGACATAAATCCGTATGTTTCTTCTTTTAAATATTTTTTTTAGTTGTATATAGACACAATGCCTTTACTTTATTTATTTTTATGTGGTGCTGAGGATCAAACCCAATGCCTCACATATGCTCTCCAAGGGCTCTACCACTGAGCTACAACCCCAGGCCCCCTTATGTTTCTAAATAGTTTTGACAGTTGTACCCAAATCATTACACTGTATGATTATTTTTTATGTTCATTCTATTCTGAGAGAAATTTATCAAGACTCCTATTTAAAGTGTTGATTTGGTCTGTTTCTCCTAATAGTTTTATTGGTTGTTTTGCATTAATAGTTATATTCATTTTTACAATGGTTAGCTCTTCTCTCTGTGTAGTTCCTTTTACTGGGATTTGGCATTCTTTCTTGTCTTTATGTCGGATATTACAAGTGCTGCTCTAGCTTTCTTTTGATTCAATCCTCTAATTGGCTAACTTTTGTTGGAGATTTGTCTCTTATATAATTCACAAGATTGTTCAATCTTGTCTTTTTACTCAGCCTGAGAATATGTTTTGCTTCACAGTGGTCTTGAATTCAGATTAACAAACACAACACACAATATGCTTCATCCAGCAAAGAGTTTACTTAGATTTAAGAAAGGATATAGGACAGAATACAACATGTACAGAAGTTGTTTGTCAAAAGTCCTAGGTAATTGGAAGGGGAAAAATTGGGGAGAGGCTGTACTCAAAGGAAGCTATTCAGTGCATGGCTGTTTTCCTCAACTCCTTGCAAAACTAGTTTTTTATCAGAGTACATGAATGAGTATTGCCACACTAGTTGTCAAATGTTTTGTTAATCCAGCAAGTTGTACAAGTCTTGTAAACAACATCATGCCTTTGATTCAGGAGACCTGAGTATTACTGATAATATAATCTCTGACAAAGAATCAGGCAATGGTTGTCCCATATGTGGAATTTAAAAACATTCTTTTAATCTGTCTTCTTCTTCCTGCCTCTAGCCAGGTTTTTTTGTTTTTTTGTTTTGTTTTGTTTTAAGTTTGACTCTCACTTCCCTCTTACAGCTTTTTTCATGGTTGATTTTTGGGAGGGGAAACAAACAGCAGTCAAAATATGAGACATTTATTTCACATGGTAGGTGCTTAGTAAATATTGTTACGAGTTTAAGCTATTGCGTAGATGATTATAGAGTTTTGAGAATTCCCTAGATCATTTTAGTCATAGAAGTGATTTTATTTTCTCATTAGATACTGCTTTTGCAAAAAATAAAGATGATGGAAAATGGTACTATTTTGATGACAGTAGTGTCTCCACTGCATCTGAAGACCAAATTGTGGTAAGTATATTATATATTTCCCAAAAATTGTGGGATCAACTGTTTTTATGAATAAGAATTCGCAAAATGGAAGGGATGATGGTGTAGTTCATTGGTAGAGGACATGCTTAGTTAGCATGTATGGGTTCAATCCCTATCTTGTACACTGCCCCACCACAAGAAAAAAGGCAAATTAATAAAAGGGGCCCATGGAACACTATTGTATATATTCTAGCATGCCTAGTAGCTAAGAGACACTTGCTCTGATTTAAAGAAACATAAAATTGTACCCTAAATGGACACTTGTCTTCAAATTTGCCCATAACAAAAGCACAAAATGCAGTCTGAAAATTTTTCATGTAACTTGTACAATGGAGTTTCTAATGAAAATTAGTTTTCCTCTAAAAAGTAGGTCAGCTCTTACCATTTTAGATATTGACTACTTAAAAGTCAAAATCCTTTAAATGCCTTACCATACCTATGATCTTTAAAGCCTAAGACAATTAGACATTTAAGTTCAAAATGACATAATCTTTTAAAAATTATTAACTTCTTTTAAACAATATAATTTTTAAAAGATTAACTCCTTTTGTATGCTTGTTACTCTGGTGTTCTGTGACTAGTAGAAAAATAAGAATGTTACATCTGTTTACGCTGGCATTCATTTATCATCCACATTTGTTGTGTTTTACATCTGAGCAGATTTTCAGATGTTGAGATGGAAAATGACTAGTGTGTTTTTAGAAGAAAGTTAAAAATTGTTTAATAAGTGTTTATTTTTCTATAAATTTTGCAGCTCTATAAATTTTACCCATTGTTAGAATACTACGAAGAGTGAGAAATATTGTATTTGCTCATATGATAGTATTATTCAAAAGGCTTTCTGTTGATGTGAGAAAAACTAACTTACTTTATTTCCCAGATTAAAGTATGTTCCCTGAGGGCAAAGACTAACTTTTTAGTTTTTGATGCTTTAAAGTCTTCAGTTTATAAAAGCAAATTGATAAATTTCTGAGCCCAATTATTGGCATAGTTTTATTCTGTCCTTGCATGAATAGCACTGAAATGTTTGTTTCTCTCTTCCCTTTTTCTCTCCTTCCCCGTGTGTGTGTGTGTGTGTGTGTGTACAGTCATATATCACTTAAAATAGGAACACATTCTGAGAATGCATTGTTAGGTGATTTGTTGTACAAATAGCATAGATTATTCTTACACAAGCATAGATTATATAGCCTACTACACACTTAGACTATATTATAATCTTACGTGATAACCATCATATATGCTTTCCATCATTGACCAAAATGTCATTCTATGGTGTGTGCCTAAGTTAACATTTCCAATTTATACTTAAACTCCTCATTCTTTTGTCCTCAATTTTTTTCTGTTCTCTTTTATCTCCTAGCCCAAATATCCTAAAATGGCCAACATCCCATCCTTCAAAGTCTCTTTAACATTATTGCCCTAGTCTCCCTTTCAAGTAATTTATCTTATTTATATACACTACATGAATTTGATTTTGCCATGCATTTAATAATGATGGTTCTTTGTGTGTGTGTGTACATACACACAATCGTGGGTCACTTAACAGGGATTCATTCTAAGAAATGCATCTCTAGGTGATTTGTTGTGCAAACATCACCAGTATTTGAATACCTTACTTACGGATGTGGTGTCTTTTATATGAGGGACTCTATTACAAGCAGCATTAAAAGACAGCTATATCTCTTCTGGGTAGTGCACACCTATAACACCAACTATTCAGGAGGCTGAGGCAGTAGGATCGAAAGTTCAAGGCCAGGCCTAGCAATTTAGCTAGACACTATCTCAGAATAAAAAATTTAAAATGTGCTGGGGTTGGAGCTCAGTGGTAAAGCACCCCAGTG